GTAATATCCATAAGATCGTTGGACATAAGTTGTTTGCATTTGTCAATCGAAATCAAAATACACATTAAACAAAAAACCATAATAAACAAACAACAATAAGATTTAACACAAGTATTCTTCGGAGTTCCTTACTTTAAAAAGGAGTCTAAAAAGTGAACTAGAATATGAAAGAATGAGAATTACAAATTCCAAAAGAAAGGAGTCGACACTTTTCTTTTGCCCTTTCCCAGGCGTGCCAAAATCAGATTCCAGAAGAAGTATCGATTTGCAGAGAGACTAAGGAAGGTATAGATTTTGAGAGGTGAAAATTGAGCATAAATAAGTAAATGGATATATGAGTGTTTCTTTTTTACTTAATTTAGAAAGAATAACTTAACTATAAAAGTCAAGTAAGACTTTTCTAGTTAAGCTCTATCTTTTACAAACTTTCCCTTGATTTTTTTTTAAAATTTGAACTGTGTAATCATTTTCTCAAAAAAAATAAAAAAATTAGGCATCATTTAACTACTTATTCTTACACTATAACAAACATTATAACAGTGCATCATAACATGTAGCTTAATAAATTGACAGAGCTTTGAATTCAGTTTTTGAATATACACATGACAACCAACAATTTACCACTAAATATAATAGTTGTGGTTCAAAGTTTTTGAATATACACACACAACCAACAATTTACCACTAATCATAATATTTGTAGTTCGGAATTGGCACAACTGCCTTAGAATTCATAGTCTTCATACTTTTAGAAGGAAGAAGAAAGATAAACAACATATTTACTTCTAGACACTTTTATATTTAAATAATCATCAGGTTGTTTACAGGAATAAAATAATACATATATAGAGAGTACAAACCGACACACCTATTCAATTGTGTCAGTTTATAATTAATTATTAAATCTAGTAACTTCCATGCATGTACCGGCCCAATATTCTAGCTTATATTTAATACATACTGTCAGTGTCTTGATGACAAGAGTAAAGTTAAAGACAAAAGACATTCACATAGGAGGAATGTCCCCTTGTAATCTTTGGCCATCTTGAAGGACTTGAGAGGTTTGTAAGTCATCATTTGGAGAAACGGAAAACAAATAACTTAGAACTAGCAACTAGAACCAAATAAAGTATTTGACAACAAACATAAACAACAGATTAGATGTTATGTAAGTAAATCATACCCCTCTACATATCATGCTCAAATTGTGAACACATTTGTTACACAGGAAAGTACAAAACAGGACTCAACAAGCTTCTATATCATATCATATCATCATACTATATTATAAATGAAGCATTTTTCCTTTCACCACATTCATTTGAAACTTCCATGTATTTTTCCTTTCAACACATTCATTTGAAACTCCCATGAATTTCCAGTTTCTTTCTAATAATAATTATAACTTGGTTAATAAGTTTAAATAAATATCAAAACTAAAGTGTAATCATATATAAACTAAATTTCAATATTAAAATAATATATTTTACTTCTACTTATAAAGTTATGAGTTTTTTTTTAACTTTTAACATATTATACTTAATTTATTAGTTTTAATATATTGTTGGATGTAAACCATTATCATTTTAAAGATACAATTTTGGAACAATTTGTATAAAATACTAAAATTATTAATTTGAATATAACATTACAGGATCAACTTAAATATAAATTATAGTTTAACTTAAACAACCCAAAGAATATTTTACAAATAGTTAAAAGTGATTAATTGTAGTGTCTTTCTAATAATGATTATAAGTTGGTTAATAAGGTTAAACAAATATCAAACCTAAAGTATCATAATAAATATACTAAATTTCAATTTTAAAATAATATTTTTACTTCTACTTATAAAGTTATGTCTTTAACTTTTAACATATTATATTTTATTTATTAGATTTAATATGTTGTTGTATATAAACCATTATCAGTTTAAAGCTATAACTTTTGAACAGTTTGGACAAAATACTTAAGTTGTTAATTTAAATATAACATTACAATGTCAACTTAAATATAAGTTTCAGTTCCACTTAAAAAACCAAAGAATATTTTGTAAGTAGTTAAAAGTGATAAATTGTAGTGATAAACGCAAAAACTAAATTATAATCTCAATTTAACTAAAATATTTCATATAGATATTTTTATAATTGTTAAAAGTTTTCAAATAAGTAGCTTAAAATAACTTACAATAACAATAGTTAAAAATATATAAATCTATATAAATGATTATATTATTACCTTTAAAATCAAAAAACAATGTTTGATGTTTTAAATAATTATAATGATAGAAATTAAAACATTAAGCAAATAAATTTTAAAAAATTAATTGACAATAACAACAACTATCAATAACATTAAACCATATATTATATTTAATTTTATTCATGTGTAACTCACGGGTTGAAGTCATTCAAATGATTGAGATTATGCAGTTATAATAGATGTATATATTATCATATAATTCAAAATAATCAACATATTATATCAATTTAGTATACGGATTGTTATATCAAATTTAACAACAACGTTATTGTTAAATTAAAAAAAACATTTATTTTTAAAGACTTCAACAATATAGGTGTTTATGCGCAACGCGCGGACATTCGCCTAGTATACTTATAAAAGAGACATATTTATAAGAACCACATCCATTTGAATCTCACATGTATTTTTATATTTCCAAAGACTTTCCAAATCCTTTTTAATAATGATTGATAAATGATTTAGCATCAAAGATGTTATATAAACCATTAAATCTTACATTGGATTCTAATACACTGAACCATGAGTGCCATATACTACTTCACATTTCATCCTTTAGTTTCCTATCTTTTTCTTTTGTAATGACTTCCATAATTCCATTAGAAAAGAAAGGAAAATGTTTGGACTTCTTGAGAAACACAAGGACTATTTTGTCTCTGCAAAGGCCTTTCATATAAAGAGGACTATTTGCATGTAAAAGAAAATACATTTATCGTGTGATCAAATTGTTTGAGTAATCTGATTTTTCCCCCATGAAATGGTTAAACTTATGACTATGACTTTATACAACAAAAACTCAAGGAATAGACAGTATTTAAGAATCCAGATGAATTCTACTTTAAGATAATCAAAGAAGTACATAAACATAGTATTGATGAAGTACATAAAGAGACATAATTTTTCTATACCCCATTCCCTTTTCAAAAAAAAGGCAAAAATCAACAACTTATTATATAGTATACATGAGTGAACCAAAAAAATACGTTCGAGAATAACTTTTGTGGATGAAGTCACAAGATAGATGTTATATCTTGCAGAAAGTTCGATCTGAGAAAAAGGTAGAATATTGCAATTTTTTTATAGTTTTGAGAATATTATATACTTAAGACATTTTCATTTAATTCATAAAATTGAAAAGTTAATTGTAACACTATAGTCACTTGATTCCCAGCCATCAAACGTACATGTAAATTATATTGAATATAGGTCTTAACCTATTTAAATGTGTCTCACTTTTTTATTTTAATATAAAAACTCATTAATAATACTTATTGGATTTTATGTTAACAATAATTATGTTTTATGGTTAAATATTTTATCTTTTTATGCAAGATGCTAAGAGAATACTAACGGAAACAAACAACGTTGGTGGATTTCAAGCTTTTAAAGTTGTGTCATATTGCTTTTGGTGCCGATCAGTTTGACACCACCACCGCCAAAGGAAAGAAACAACTTCAAATGTTCTTCGATCGATTGTACTTTTGAGTCACTATTGTATCTTTTATCGAAATTCTATACATATATCCTAACAAACATCAATAGGTGTAGAAAGTAAAACTAAATTGTGTTAATGGTCATGTAATATAGAAAAAGGGTCAACTTTGACTCAATTTAACTATAACGTTATTAAGTCATTATCACCTAGACGGAACAATATGTTGCATGAGTCATGAACCCATAAATGGATCCATATTGAAATTTTGGAATCCAAAAAATGATCCATATTGAAATCCGACGAATCTATATTTATCCATACCGACATCCAATAGATCTAAAATGGATACATATCAAAAGCATTGGATCCATATTTATCTATATTGCACTTTTTGAATCCTATCCATATGAAAATTTAGTGGATCCATATTACTTCAATTTTGGATTCGAAAGGATCCATATTGATATAGATCTATACTACTTTAATTAATTGTACCGTTTATTAATAATATAATAACTACAAAATACATAAGTTAATTATTTTCCAACAATTAAGATTAATTGATTCTAAAATTGTGTTTTCCCGACGTTGATGTATTTTCTTAATTATTGTTACATTTTAGTTTTGCTTAAAACTTAGTTTTTTTTTTGTTGTTTTTGTTTTTTTTTTCGCAGCAAGCGTTCACCTAGTTCTATATAATACACATAGGTAATTAACCAAGTTAATTTTACATACAACACATAACACAAGCCAAAAAAACATACATGATAAATTGTTAATCTGTTATCAATATTCGTACTCCATTAACTATTTTTTGGCCCGAATATGAAAAAGGGGTTAAATGTCAATTTTCCATAATGAATGGTGCGTCTGTTTGCACCATGTTTATGAAGGTGAACAATGATGGGAATGGATAGTGGGGATTTGTTGAAAGACCAATATATTACAAATCAAACAGATATTCCTAATGACGATTAGAATTGTTGTTTGATCCATACGGTGTTGCACAAACATTTTGGTTAATTTTCACTTGATAATGTAATAGTGATAACGAGATGAAGGTAACACCTTTTTGAAAGCAAAAAGATGTGTAACTGGTGCAACTAAAGTTTTCAATTCTTGTGGATTTTATAATAAAATATATATATAAACAAATTGATAACATCTAGATGTTATCAATTTTAGCGGCGACACGCGTCGTGTTGCCACTATTCTTGTAGTCTCTCCAACCAACGGTCTAAACCATCTGAACCCAATCATCCTAATCGTCCTCTTCAGAAGATTCATCAAATTCATCATCATTTTATGTTGAGTTGTGAGTAAAATATTTGATCCGTTTCATGCACTCTTTTACTAAATTTGTGTCAAGATTAAAGCTACACCGCATATGAACGCCTAGGGATTGAAGGTGTGGACAACCGTTAAGAATGGCCTGAAACCCATCATTTTTCATCTTGTAACTATAAATATGCAAAGACCGTAACTCAGGCATGTTGTTTCCAATGGCAACAGCAAGATCATCAAATGGCCCGGTGTACATCATGTTAACGTGGAATATTTTGAAGGACCTGAGTTGAGGGCAGTTCCGTCCAATAACTTCAATATCTTCTACTTTGATTGACATTGAATATAAACAAAGATCCTCCAACTGCGGTACTCTTTTAACTGCCCGACTCAACCCACTGCCCGTGATACCATCGCAGCAACAAATGCAAAGACACTTCAGCTTACTTGCGCTGGAGCCATAATAAAGAAACAAATTTTAAATATTTCAAAAATAGCTATTATAATATATCTGCAGCATGAGTTACGATACAATTCTTGGAGAAAAATCAAGTTGCATGATTAATTTATTTATTCCTAATTATTTTAGTAAAGAAAATAGTATAAAATAACAATCTATACTTTTTTGTCCAAGGAATGTAAACGTTTTACTATAAATAACAACCTACTAAGATTTCTTTCAATTTAGGCAACCACTTATTGAAAATAGCAACATATTTCTGCTTAGCAACCTATTTAGTTGGTTGCCTAACCCAGAGGAAACTATAAGTTTTTTTAACTCCTCCCCACCAGCAAGTTATTTTATGTAAATAAAGTAAACTGGTTACCTTTACCTAAAGGTGATCAAGCATCAGGTGCAATAACCATATAGATAACTCGGGACATGAGTGGTCAAGAAATATTTTGGTTAATGAGACTTGATACTACAAAATATATAAACTTTCATGCAATCTACCCTTTTTTGGGGTCAAATATGTAATGCATGCTTTTAAACTCATGCTGTTCAAGATGTTATATCACTGATTTAAGCCTCACCAGAAAGACTCAACTCTTGAGGTTTTGATATAGTGAATATGAAAACATGAATCAGACAAACTAAATAAAAAGAAATCAATGTTTCTTTTTTAATAGGACATTACTTAAATATAAAAGTTAAGTTTAAGACCCAAATTTTACAAATTTGCCCTCAATTATTTCTTTTTTTACAACTTCAAGTGCGCCATTTTATTGTATATTTTATTAAACAGCGTTTACCTCCTTCAACGATATATATAACCTTGTAGCAATGCATCATAACATCAAAACTCACCAACTTCTCTTGTTTCAAAAAGAGTAAAATTACACAAGAGAGATGATGTGAAAATACCCAGATATTTTTCTATAATAGTTTGAGTTTGTTAGTGCTTTTGATCAGTACTAACTATTTGCAAGCAATATTCACACAAACAGGTTATAGGGAACGCTCTCTTCACCCAGAATTAAGAGCAGACGCTGATATAGAAATTCAAACCTACATAAACTCAATCGGTAATTTATCTTCAAACTTTTTCTCTTAATGAAATTTGTAACGCAGTTACTAATTTTATTGGAAAAGGAAAATAGATTTTAAGAATTTGAGTTCAAAAAATCACATGTCACGTTCAAAAGTCAGATATAATTCAGAAGATTCGCACATTACCTAAATACACATAGATTGAGAACTGTTTTTTATACAAATTGGCGGTGATAATGCTCCGATTTGTAGTTAGCTTGAGAGGTGACACTAGTACAGAAAACATTTCTTGATGCGGTTAAAATGTTTAATTGGTGCGGGTATTGAACCGCACCAAAAAATATCGCATCAAAAAATACCTTTATTTAATGGAGCGGTTATAAAACCGCACCAAAAAATAGTCAGAACCGCATCAACAAATAATCTAAGAACTATACAAACCACATTAGAAAACGATGAAAACCACACCAATAAACAATTCTTACAAATCGCACCAAGTAGGAAAACCGCTCCAAAAAAAAAGAAACATCGCACCAAATCCTCCCCAGTTATTACTCTTCCATATATTTCCAGAAACTACCAATTCCACTTCTCTTAGGTTTGGAAATTTAACAACGATTTGTGATTAGTCAAAACCTCTGTTTGTTGCTTCAAATAAATAACACGACCTTACATAATTCATTTCCAGATATTGCAATTGTAGGAATGTAATAATCTTATTAATATCATCATTGTGTTCTACATTTATTTTGATCAAATTATGAAGAGACCAAGGTGTGCCTCTGAAATAGCAGGTCACGAGCTTATACTGTCTAAACTTGAGAACGGGGGCTGCAAGGCCAAAAAAGAAAAAAGAAAAAGAATGCAAGGCACATGTTAGATAGAGGTAACCACCCTTAAACCACCATCTGGCTGAGAACAAACACCTACCGGAAATCGCCTTTGAACCACCATCATCACCGCCGCCTGTTTGCTGCCGTGAACGCAACAATCACCAAGGCACACCACTTTTTAAGAGAGCAACTCTACATCGACCATCTTCACAACCGAGCTAACAAAACAATAAACCACCACCAGTGGACACCATTGCCATCTGCCCTGCTTTAGCCGGATACCACCATTACAGCTACAAAGAGCACCCTACAGCCCCAGTTGACCCCATCACCATCTTCACGAGTTTGCTTCACCTCCGGTTAACCATCTTGCCACCTCAAACCACCCTTATACCACCTGCCATCTCCACCACTAACCACCGAGAACACCGGCCACAGAGCCCTGCCTTTGCCGAGAACCGTCCCATCTCCTACATATTTCCGATCCACCACCCTTATTCCACCTAGCTTAAACAACCCGACGCCACCAAACTTGTATCAAAACAAGACAAGAAGGAAGAAAAAAGAAATTGGTTCTCCGGTTTGTGTTATCTTCAAATGGGGAAAATACACAAACAATATAGGGCATAAATATTTTATTGATGCGGTTCCCATTAATTGATGCGATTAACCAAAAGTTGGGAGGGAAACGAAAAAATTAGAATGAAATTTTTAGTGGGAAGAATAAATAAATGCTGCTGTTTCCAAAGTTTTATTGATGCGGTTTCCATTTTCTATAAATGAGTTTAATAGTGCGGTTTTGAACTAACGCATCAAATAATGCGTTATTAATGCGGATATAAGAAAATCGCACCAACAAATGCTTTAAATGGTGCGGTTCCTAAGTTTATTAATGCGAAAGTGTTTTAATGGTGCGGTTTTAGATTTCCACCGCACCAAAAAAAAAACTCGATCGCACTATTAGATACGTTTTGTACTAGTGTGACATCCACACGACGCAGATTTTTATTCTCCTTCGGTCCTTCTAGATCTCATCGTTGTGCTAGGGTTTAGCAGAGGTTTATAGGAATGGAGATGTAAAAGAGTTGCTATCTAGAACTTGAACTTATTTGCTGGTTTCTACAGTTTCCTCAGTTGAAGAAATACAACAAGTTGAACCATTTGTTGAAAAGTAACAAGATCTCAGTATATTCATGGATATTTGAATATAGATTCATATATATTCTTACAGAATAATAGTTTTATACATTTTAATAAAATTATACATGTTCTAACAGATTATCATAAAAATGAAAGAAATTCTTAAAAATCATAGCATTCTTAAATAAATAGTTCTTTATGAAATGCACTTGATCGTCTTCAATGGTCCACAGTCAACTTGATTCCAATCATTCTTACGAGAATGGTATTTTGTGAGACTAACATCGGGCAAGAACTACATTCTGTAAGAATATCATTCTGTTAGACCACATTTATTTTCATCATCTAATATATGCAATACTCATGTATCTGCCAAAAAAATATACATTATCAAATCCTATGATAAATATCCTTACAAACTTTAGTGAGACATAATGTATACCACATGGTCATTACCAAAGAATTTTGTATGAGAAGCAAAGAATATTGCCATTTTCCTTATTCTGAAAGAATATTGGTCTTCGTCATTCTAAAGTCTTCGTCATTCTGGAAGAATATTCGAAGGTTTTAAATAACTTTCATTAGGTAAATCAAATAAATTCCATTACTCTAAAATGAAACAAACCAAAGAATGAAACTCACTATGAAATGACAAAATGGTCAAAATACTAAATTAGCTTTTAAAAAAATTTCAATATAAAAAAAGGAATTAGAGTATCCATACTAACAGAAAATTCCATAACAAATGTCCGACTAGGGCTTCCACATATAATTTTTCCTCTTAGATGAAATATATTAACAAAGAACATGCATGCAAGTTGCAAATGACCATTAGAAAGCAAAACCAACCATATTTATTCTGTAGCACACACTACAAGAATAGGGAACTATAGAGACGAGATCTATAGGGACGACAAATGTCGTCGTTATAGACACCCTAAAGAGACGACATGTCGTCTCCATAGAGTTTTAGAATTTTTTTTTTTTTGTCGTTTGCTACTACATCGGTCTCAACATGTAAAGCGGGTAAAAAAGGCGCGTTTTAGGGAAGGGTATAGGGACGACTTGTCGTCCCCATAGCTTTCTATGCCTTAAATCATCAGACAATCTCCTTCGTTTCATTCACACACACTCAATTATCAGTATATCTCTCTCTCTCTCACTCTAGATCGGAGATTCTCCCCTCCCTAATCTCGACCATGATCTTCTCCTCTGGCAACTTCCTCACCTCCCACTCCCTGCGAATCTTCATCCTCTCTCCGTAGATTCTCATGCTAATTGTCGAACACCACCGTCGGGATCAATAACTACGATTAGTTTCAACCGATTCTGACTATCGGCTTCCTTTTCACATCCGGTTACAAATTCTATCGAATACAAGCCCTAATCTGGCTACCAAGTTAGTAAGTCTCTGTTTGAAACTGTAATTGAGGTGTATGTTAGCAATTTTGTGTTTGAAACTGGAATTGGGATATAGGTAAACGATGATGACAACGAACAAACTCAAATTCAATGCAGATTTGTTTTCAATATTGCTCTGTACGTTTTCTTTGGCGGAAGCAAGGTTATTGTATTTTCAAATGGCTTATTTCAATGACTCTGTGATCTAAACAAATTGAGCTGAATTCATGTGGATTTATTGTATGTAGAACTTATGATAAGTTACATCTTCACTAGAAGAGAAAGTTAAGCCGGATGAATTTAGCACAAGAAATTTTTAATTGAGCATTCTGTTCGTGTTTGCTTATAGAAAATTTTGGATGCTTTTTATTTTGTCTGCAGGGAGGTAGGGCTAGGGTGTTCATGTACCAAAAGGTACATCCATAAGCATGAAAACAGATGTCCAATGACCCTGCATTCATCTTTGTATGAATT